AAAAAAAAAAAAAAAAAAGGTAATCAATCCTGTTTTCTTGAATACAAATTTCCTCTCTGTTAGGGTTGGACCGATCAGCTGCCAAGACCGCACTGCGGAAGGAAACGTTACGCGAGCGTATCTAGCGGAAGGAAGGTTTAGCCGATGCAGTATGTATAGAGCATCTATAGAACATCTATATAAACGTGCGATGGACGATTACTCTTCTACTCCATCAATCAACATTTGGAAACAATTTCTTAGCTTTACTCATTCATACTTGTTCCCTGAATACAAGCAAAGCTACAAAATGGCACCACTTCAGATCGGTATCGTCCTCTACGACTTCCAGCTCCTCGACGTCGCTGGCCCAGTCGACCTCCTCATCTCCGGATCCAAAGCCATGCTAAGCACCATTAACCGCGATGGATTCGTCCCAGACGACATGGTAGACCAGGGCATTGATATCAACTTCCACTATATCGCCCCGACAATGGACACCGTGATTACCCTCATGAGCGGCTTCAAGCTGCAACCAACCACCACCTTCGATGAATGTCCCAAGCTCGACGCAATCCTCCTGGGAGGCCCTGGCCCCGATTTCTGGAACAACATCCCCGACTCTTACCGCGAATTCCTGCACCGCAAGGTGGACGAGGTCCAGTATTTCTTCACCACCTGCACGGGTGCGATTGTGGCCGCCAAGGCTGGCTTGCTCCGCGGTAAGCGCGCAACAACCAATAGCGAATTCCTTGAGTACATCAAACCGGAATGTCCCGACACTACCTGGGAAACGGCTCGTTGGGTAATCGATGGCAAGTTCTGGACTGCGGGTGGTGCCTTTGCGGGAATTGATATGTTCGAGCACTGGCTTGAGGGGAGGAGGAGTGATGCGGTGGTTACCTTGTCTCGCTCTAGTCTTGCGTACCAGCCCAGGGATATCAATGGTAAGGAGATTCGTGAGTTGGGGCCAAGCTGGGTGGTCGGGAGAAATTAGATTGCTTGTGGACTTTAAATGACCGGTTGATGTTTGTGAATGGAGAATTTTAGTATATACAATATGGGAAGGCCCGAAGCTGCTTCAAGTATAGCTGATATTCCTGGAAGTGTCCATCCATTGCTCAGACGGTAGTTCTGATAGAAACTCATTAGTGAACAACATATCAAGATTGATCTCTATGTCATCAGCAGGAACAGAGGTTTGATATGCATCCCAGAACTCTGTCCCTTGAATACCAGACAGAACCGGACATCGCTTCATTCCGGGCTGCGGTTCAGAATTCACAGCTGGAGGTAGGCCTTGGTCGTAAGTTGCGGCGAGAGGAAGAGGGCATAGTAAATCTAAGACAGACTTGAACAGATAAAACATATCAGGGAATTCTCCGGGGTTCCGGCCAGACTGCGAAAGTTTTTCCATACGATTCGCCAAGCATTCAAGGTATCTGGTTAGGGTCCGAGATTCTTCTCCAACCGCTGCAATGATGCCCGGCAGACCAGCTGCAGCTGAAAGAATCTCTGTGGTAACACGAATCACTGCAATTAGACGGTCCCATTCAGCAAATGAGAAGTGGGCAAAATTCGATGTAGGGACGGATATGAAATAGTCCAGGAAGGCTCTTCCTTTGCTCATGATGGAATGAAATTTGGCAACGTCAAACTCCAAAAGCATTGCGTCCAGACGATATATACTTGCTTCCTCCATCAAGGAAAGAGTAAGATGTGCAACATTAACTGAAGCTATATTAGGAAACTATTAGATGGGGAACCCAAGTTCTTAATAACAGCGAGAACATACGAATATTCAGGGAGAAGTCTGACGTAAGCTGATGATCTGCTAGCCAGAAAAGATCAGACTTCTCGGTGCCTTTGTATGCTGCTTCTATTGCCGTCTGAAGCCGAATGCAGGAGTACATCATTCTACCACGGGTACACTCTCCCTGGGATAATTGAAGCAGATAGCTTCTCAGGTTGGAGGAAAGGGCCACCTTGTTGTCTCGTTTGGACCCTGTTGCAATGCTGGTCCACGATTGTTAGCGGCTAGAGTAACCCTTGCAGATGTAGCACCTACACAGAGGAAAGGTAATAGCACCCAAGGCAGGCATCTAGAGCTTCGCTACTGATCGATGGTGATGAACAGTCGAGTTCTGTTTTTCCAAAAGTTTCATCATCGAACCCTAGGTCAACAATCATGCTGATAGCAATTTGGAGATACTGGTAGGACTGAAAGCTTCGTGGACGTAGATGCATGTTGTACCTATCAAACCATCTTTAGTCTACCTCGCTTGACTTGCTTTATTCTCGGTATTACTCACCATGCAATGTAAATGAGCAGCCCCTGGAGATAGTCCAGACTTTTTTCCCCAGCGTTCACAACCCGATCAGCCAACACGGACCGAAACCTGTTATCCAGACTCCTGAGTAGAGCCATGTCATCTGAAGATGCCGCGGTAAGTACCGCAAGATACAGGAAGCGACGCTCCGCCGAGGCTATATTATTTGGGAGCGCCACAAACGGGAAATAGGAGCTCTTGGTTTGAAACTTGCTTAGAAGCTGATCAGCTTTTATCTGGTCAAGCACCGGGGGCCGTTCTCCTGTCTCATCAGACGTAGTATCCAATAACACTCTAGACGATTGCTGTCCAGAGATGTCAAACTTTGTCTGAAATATTTGACGATGGACGTCCACAACATTCTTTGGTGGCGGAGGCCTCGGCTGAGCATCAAACAACCCTGAGAGAACATCAGCTTCTTCTTGTTTCGGTTCTCCCGTGCCTTTGGCTTTGTTTGGGGCTATTCGGCAGTCTAATTTAAGCGTTTGACATCTAGTTGAAATTATTAGAATGTGCAAAATTGATGACTCAGGCTCACTTTACCGTCGACATGGCAATTGTGGGTTTTCCCTTAGACAGCGTGTCCTTTTTACTTTGCAATGAACGCATGCCCACGATGTTCTCGGCTTTGGGCACATATATTTGTATGCTGAATCCATGATCGTTCTCTCATGTATGAAGTTGTGGATGGATGAGCCGGGAAATTGGAGCCTATGCTTATTTATCAACCGTGGGGCGAGAAGGTTCTTGGCACAAACTCCTGTCTGATGTGTCAGCTCAAAATGCAACTAACGTTTTTATGCATTAGGAGGCCTTAAACGTGTTCATTATTATCAGCAAGGCCCCCAATTTTTATTATTATTATTATTATTATACGTTTTTGACAGATAATTCACAGCTTAGGTAAGGCTTAATTCATCCAGAGCGCGGTATTTGATCTTCCTTTACCGGTAACCTTGGCATTGGTGGTCGAAGAATTGCAATATATATTTGTGGCGCTTCACACTGTTCAAAATTTGGGTTAACAGTGGACAAGTAAATAAAAACATAAAGCACTTAGTCCCCTTCCGGATACATTACATGCTTTGAAGGCTGCATCCTCCAAAGTTATCTAGATATCTAAAAGTCGGTTCACTGCTGTTGCGGAAAACGTCACAGCGAATCTAATCTCGTGTGCATGGGATAAGTGGGCTTTTTTATGGGTATGGCGCGAATATGAAGGAGAAACAAACCGAATAAGCGTGAATAGCTCAGATCCATTGCATTCTTTGAGTTCAGACGTCTAATCCCGTGCTATCAACGGCCTTGCAGTTTTGAATGGTGGAACCTGTTGTGTGAATCGCTATCCTCAGATTTTATGAATCATTCTGCCGGTATAACCATTTCAGTCGGAAGTAATTGAGGAATACATTTTCGCGAGTTTCTTTTGGGCGGGAATAGAGCTCTAGACTCATGGTGCGTGCACTAAGGAGGGCTTCGGACACGTTCAAATTAATTGGGTGCATTAGTGCCCACGCTAGTTCACGATTATACCCATATTATTCGAGGGCATTTCCAGTCCGGTGCACCATCTTATATTGTTCACTGGAGATTGGCTAGGATTCATGTTCGATATGAGCTTTTGTGGTTAGTGAACCACCGGATAAGTAGGCCGAGGTTTGGATCCCACGATTCATATGAGGATAAATTGAGTAATCTTTTGGTCTGAAGTAGTGCCAGAATTAACTGTATTATATTCACCCTACTAGGATTAGAGAAACTTCCTTGCGGCGCAACGTGGCCGGCAATTAACCGCACATCTAATTTATGCCAGTGGAGAATAACCAGCTACGATTAGAGTCTCCACAATGTTGATAGCTTCATCCCCTCAATCTCCAAGCGAGCTACTAGTCTACACTACCTTCCTCTTAAATGACCGTCGTCAGCCACAAATTTAATCTTGCTCGTTCTTCTTTTAATCCGTTTTTCTTCCATTCCAGCCAACCTTGACTGAGTTTCCTGCCACTATCTAGGGTCTTAAAGCCATGAAGGACTTCGTGTCATCTACTCTTGCCGCCTTGGCTGGGGCAACTGTGGTGATGGGCGCTCAGGGTGCTAGTTTTGCTACTATATCTCTCACAGCCGCCGCAACCACGATTTCCCCAAAGTCCACCACGCTGTTTCCTGCAGAGACAGTCCAATTGACGAATGAAGTCCTTGCTGATTTGTCTTCAAACATTCGAAATGCGAATGTATCTGATGTATTCAAGTTTGCCGATCATTACACCGACTTGACTCTTTCTAAGAAGATTCCACGAAGCTGCAAGGTGATGCCAGGGGACGTGTTCTGGCCTAGCAATCTGCTCTGGGATATTTTTGATACTCTGCTAGGTAAACGATTGATCAAGACGGTACCGCTGGCTGCATACTGCTACTCTGACTGGCCAGAGTATGATGCAGATAAGTGCACTAGTATTACCTCGCAATGGGCCGTTTCCAATCTCCAGTGAGTGATACTTGTCCAGCCATGGAACATCTAACTAAACTATTTATAGTATGGACGACCCAGCTTCAATTATGCTGCCGCTCTATGAGGGTAGAACTTGCATGGCTCCTGGATACAACTACACCAACACTTGTGAGTTGGGCGGGTACCCAGCGTACGTGGTCAATGCGTCCACTGTGGCTCAGATCCAATTGGCCATCAACTTTGCACGTAATTTAAACCTTCGTCTGGTAGTGAAGAATACAGGACATGACTTCAACGGCAAGTCGTCTGGTAAAGGCGCTCTGTCTATTTGGACCCATTGGTTCAAAGATAAGGCGTTCTACCCCGAGTACAAGGCCACCAATGGCTATATCGGACCGGCCATTAAATTCGGTTCTGGAGTTCAAGTCTGGGAAGCCTATGAATATGCGAAGAGCCTCGGTGTTAGTGTCCTTGGCGGAGAAGCTGTTACTGTCGGTCTGGGAGGTGGCTACACTGCAGGTGGTGGTCACTCACCGTTGAGTAGCATGTACGGCATGGCTGCTGATCAGGTTCTTGCTATGGAAGGTATACATATGTCACCCGGACGTCGCCAACGTTTGACTAGATCCTTGGCTAACTGTTTGTCGTGTAGTTGTCCTAGCTGACGGGCGCTTCATCACTGCATCGTCCACTGAAAACTCCGAAATTTTCTGGATGCTTCGTGGCGGTGGCGGCAGCACCATTGGCGTTGTTACATCTTTAATTGTCAAAGCTCTCCCAAGACTGCCGACCACCACAGTCACGTTCAACTTCACCATTAACGATGCCCCTAGTGCCGATGCGTTTTGGAAGGGAGTTGAGGCCTACTTTGACAATTTTGAGGGTTTTGTCAACGCGGGTACCTACGGTTACTACTATGTTGGAGCGTCGGCCATTGAGATTGGTACTGACTATGCTGGGTCGACCGACTATTATTTCCGCATGCAATCTTTTGTTGCACCTAACATGACCATGGCTGAGACGAAGGCTTTGCTTGCTCCGTGGTACAAGGTTCTCGATAGCCAGAACATCACCTACACGCCGTGGTACAACCATGCCGACAATTTGTTCGTCCACCTTCTTCTACTTTCTTCCTCGCTTTTCAGCTAACCTACAAATTACTAAGCCATGACGCTTGGGTTGTCGCATTCCCTCAAGAATTTGCCGGAGGTGCCGCGGTCAAAACCGCCTCGCGTCTGATGCCCCGAAGCGTCTTCCAGGACGACACTCTCCGTCAGCGTACTTATGCCGCGCACAAAGACGCTACCGAAAAGGTATCCTGCCATTAAACCCATCATTCCACAAACCAGCCCTCTAAATTAACAAAATAGGGTCTCTTCATTGCCGGATTCCACATTTCCGGTACTGGCATCGCCGTCGCCCCACCCAACGACACTTCCGTCCTCCCCGCTTGGCGTGATGCTCTCGCTCATGTTATCGTCGGCATCGAATGGCCCAATAATGCCACATGGGAGACCGTTCATAACGCCTCCCTTGCCGTCACAAGCTGGATGGATGTCCTGCGTGATATCGCCCCGGAGTCAGGTGCTTACATGAGCGAGGCTGATCTGCTCGAACCCAACCTACAGGAGGCATTCTATGGGGTTAACTATCTCGCTCTGTATGCACTGAAGCAGAAGTACGACCCCACTGGTCTGTTCTTTGCGTTGACTGCTGTTGGTGCGGAGGATTGGGAGGTCAGGACCACTGACCCTTTACCGTATTCTTGGAATAATAATGGACGACTTTGTCCTGTCTCCTCTTAGACCTTTATGCGTAATGGAAAGATGATGTTGTACATATATTAAACTCAATGCCATGGGAGAATAATTCCATTATCTGCTAGTGATGATTTGATCTTATCGAGATATAGAGACTGAACATACCTATTGCTTTAAAACTCCTGGCAGACACACGAAGCTGACGAGCGCTCGGGCAAAACTGGCATGACCTTGATCTATATTCTGAAGAATGATATTGAAGTAGCTGACTGGATAGAAAAAGCCGGGACGAGCAATATATTTATTGTGAAGGGGCGAGGGGTCGCAGCAATTTTAGACATAATTTTGTACAGTAGCATAATAACATCTAACTTAATAGTCCAAAATACTGCCTTCACATCACTTCACTATATATATATATATAGCTTCAAGTCAGACATGCCCTGTTCTGGAAGCATTGACATACGAGTTCTACAGCCAGATGACCGTGGTGTCGAGCTCAGAAAGACGAGCTAAGTACTGGGCTTGGTTTTTGGTAGTACTATATAGGTCAATTGAACTAGGAAGTTAGTACATACGACCATAGGGTGTGGAGAACAGGGCTTCCCGTCCGCTCAGCCGTACTTAAGCCACACGCCGGGAGGTTAGTAGTTGGGTGGGTGACCACCAGCGAATCCCTCCTGTTGTATGTATTTTGTTTTTTAAGTTATATTTGTAGCCCTCTTCTACCCTCTATTATTTGTGTCATTAATGTAAACCATGATTACTTGAGGCTTAAGGTAGTGCCAATGGGAAACTTCTCTCCTCTGCACGTTCTTTCCTTCCAGTATAGACAACCCACCATATGATCAAGCTACTCTGATTCCTTTCTTAACCCAACAACAACCCCATTATCGTTCTCTAAAGTCAAAACAATCCTCTCCGACCATCCTTCAGTATTGTAGTCCGTGATAGTGGAAAATGTTTGTAAAATACGACAGACTACATAGGACGCTTCAGTCATGGCGTACTGTTCTAAATCACCACAGCAACTCAGCATACTCAGCATACTAGGTAGAGGATGGACACTTACGGCCAGGGCATATTCTGGGTCCTTTGCTAAACGGGAGAAAGCCGGGGATCTCTCTGTCCAATAACTCCCACCTTTCTGGAATAAAGTCCTGCGGACTATCCTCGAAATCTGCTCCTAAACGGTGGCTAGCCCATGTCGAAAATACCACGATCGACCCCCTCTCGACAAGGACGGGTAGGTCACCTCTAGAGCCCCCGCCACATGGCAATACGGTGTCTTTGCTGGCTGTCCTGGCATTGAATGGAGCCGGGGGAAATAGACGCAGTGCTGCAGAAATTAACCCTCAGCGTCTCCTAGAGGCAAATGATATATGGTTTCATCCTCACCTTCATTGAACACACAGCGCATGTATTTCAACCCCCTTAGCTGCTTGTATGTAGGACAGTCATACCCAATGGCATCAATAATACTGTTTCTCAGTTTTCGAAAGACTCGCCTATTCTGAGATAGGAGGAAAATTGTTGCAGAAAGTAAGGATGTTACACTGTCTACTGCCGCAATCATAAGAGTCATGGCGTGATCTGTAAGCTGTGAGATGTCTTTGACATCTGTGGCCAGGCCACGTACAAAGCAGTAATTCCCTAAACCCATGGGGCTTTCCTGTTCCATGGTAGTGTTAGTTGCCGTTACATCCAATGCGTGTTCTGCATAAGCCATAACGTATCTTCGAGCTCTGGCACAGGCATCTACAAATTGCTTCTTTCCAAATATCCAATGCAATGGTCCACGGAAGCCGTTCTTTGCGATGGTGTGTTTTATGTATACAAGGTCTTCCGCGAATCTTTTCTTTTCAGGACTTTGCATATGGCAAAGGGCATCCAGAGATTCCCCAAGCGCGAATGAGCTCGTGATGTCTGCACAAAGGTTAAAGAATAGGGCTTGAATATCGAATGCATCACCATCCGTCGGCACATGTTGGATGAAGTTTTGCAGATGCCTCTCATACATGGGCAGATCGCAGATCTGGCCATGTTTGGAGAGTTGACGCTGCCACAAACCCCTAACGCTTTTCCACTCTGGACCATCCACTGCAAAGATGCTAGAAGGCGCTACACAGTCAAAAAGGTGTCCCCGTAGCTGGGAACTATCATAGTCCACGAAGCCTGTAGAAAGCACTTGTTTGATATTTTGTGCATGACAAGTGAAAACTAGCTTGAGGCCGAGGATTTTTGTCCCGTACGTATGGCCGTGTTGCAGGAATAACTTGTTTGTATATGACAACGACTGTTTTCGCCGAAAGGCAAAGCCCAATTCCACCGCCTTCCCGAGACCAAGATAATCGTGCTGAAATCTGGTTTCATACGTGGTCTTCTCACAATGATGCTGCGTGGAGAACTCCCTGAGTTTTCGATATCGTAGAATGCGGTTTAAAATGGCTATAGCTGTCACTGCAGCTATTGCCACCAGATATATCGGGTATGAAGAATTCATCGCGTGAAAATGTGAAACCACAGCATACTAGTAATTTCGGTATGTGCTGTTTTATGTGGTTATTTGCGAGCATGGGCTCAGCTAGATGCAAGGGGGTATTAATAATAGTTCTGGCATTGCATTGCGGTGTGGATCCTTCCACAAACGATTTCAAATAAAAATGTCTTTTCATGCCCAACCCGGTACCAAGCTATAGGGGCCTTGACAACTTCAATAATGGCCAGGCTTGTGTAGGGTACCAGCTCTAACTGCCCTGGAACTATATATACTCCGGAGTGGAATCTTCTTAATTCTTAAGAGAGTCAGAGCTGATACATGTGACTTTCTTAAACCCAGTATAAATCGAAATAACTCATTCGACCGCTCTCTTTCAGTTTGTAACGAGATCGGCAACTAATTCACGTATCCGGAGTACTATGGATGCTACTTTGGTATTTAGGGATGCCTGTATTTTCCCAATGCAGTACTTAGGTGCCGAGGGGGTCAGTTTAGCCTGGTTCCACGAAAAGGCTTTTCCAGGTGATGTATGGTTTCTTATGGTAAACAGGGTTCGGAATTATTTGGCACCAGTGAAACTTAGTTCAAGTTAGTGATAAACAGTATAACAGAAGGGTTTATCTACGGTTTCAAACTGGTTGTAATAGTTACATAATAATATATTACCATCTCATACAGTAAAAAAGTGAGACTAACTAATGATAACCAGTAATAAAGAACAGAACTGTTTTTTATAGTAACAACAACCAAAATATTCTCAGGTTTCTAACAGTTAATAATTAGCTGAATATTGATATTAAATAGATAAATATTAGACTTTTCCAACTATTAAACTGTTCGGTGAATAATATATTACTATACTGAATATATAAATAACAAGAAATTTACGAGTTATATTATAGTAAAAGAGAGTACAAAAAATGATCTCTAACTTTAAAAACTCTTTTACTAATAAATATCTGCACTAACTCAGGGTCAATAAGTTTAAGGTTGTGTTTAATCTGAATAACAGAGACTTAGATAGGAGGGGCTCTATATATTTTTCGTATACAACCTTTTTCTAATTATCACGACGAATCTTTAACTCCGGGAACTCAGTCAGCCCCCTTACCAGCTGCTCCTGCAAGAGCTCAATATAGTCCAGGTAGACATGGATATTAACCATGGCATAAACAAAGGTACCGGGATATAAGTCCACTGTATAAGTATATACCTCAAGAGACTGTAGGAGACAATATTAAAGGGCACACCGAGGGCCACGTCACACGAGCGCTGATAGGGCTGGCAATGGAGATGACCTTTCTGGTCTTGACCATTGGGGTAGGAGACGTAGAACTGGGCGAACATGTCACAAGGCGGGAGTGCTATCTTCTTGAGATCGACTGGTTCCAGGCACTCATGATAATGCGATAGTCGAAAGGGTTATGTTTTAACTTGTACAGTATCTCGGCGAGCCGGTTGACTCCTTGTCCTTTGTAATCGGTTTTGGTGTCGACATTCTCGGCCCCGAAGTGTCGCCATTGAAACCTGTATACAGGACCGAGGTCGCCTACGTCGCGGTGGCCCAGGCCGACTTTGTCGAGGAATTCGCGGCTGCTGCTACCGCCCCAGATCTTGACGCCTTGGTCGGAGAGCGGCAGGGACGAGATGCAGCCGGAGATGAACCAGAGGAGCTTGGCGACGACAGCGCGGAAGAAGACACTTTTGGAGGTCGGGAGGGGGAGGACGGGGATAGAGTCATCGACTGGGTTGGGAGCCGGTTTGGAGAGCGAGAAGCGGAGAGCGAAAGCGGGGCTGAGGGGGTGCGAAGATGGAGTGTGTGCTTGTACCTGTGCGGTCGGGTCGGTATTCGCCTGAGGCAAGTCTCGTGTGTATGAGATTGAGATACTGGTGTTCTTTATGGTTGGAGTTGTCTGCTGGATTGTCTGCTGGGTTCGGTGTGCTGCTGTTATTTATACATACATTAGCTGTAAAAGGCTTTCACGGATTATATATATACAGTATCCTGAAAGGAAATAAAGTAGCATACATTACATATAATCGATGTTCCAAGTGCAAAGGCATAGTGTAGGAGTAGAGGCTGATATAGCAACTCCCTTGGTATGAGAGAGATTGACCATATATAATGGTGTAGAACAACATGCTGGTAAACCTACCAAACACCAATCTGGTAAATATTCGTATAATGGCAGCTTAAGCATATAATCTTGTTGTGCACATTCAGTAAGTGGCCGAACCAAAAGAAATGAGTATAGATTATTTCGAAAGCTGTGACGAATACAGCATATAATCTGGCCGATTTCAGAACCATGGAAGTAAATAAATTGCCCAATGTTAAGGGTAACTCTGCGGCCATTTCTATTAGAAGAATTAGTACTATATTAAACAGAACATACACAGACTTACTCTTGGTTAAAGGCAATCTTTTTGAAGAAGCTAAGCTGTTCAAAAACAGAAAGTTGCTCAATATCAGTGATCTGATAATCAACATTATAAGCGTAAATCAGCTTGCTCGTAAATACATGCATATGATACATTGATATCCTATCATAAGGTATATCAAGGTTATGCTGCTGTGACAGGCGGAGAGGATCAATCGAATCGAAAAATTTGGTAGCATTATCTGATATTGTTTCACAGTCTTCCTCGTCGAATAAAATAAAGCTCTGTGTGAGTTGTGGGCATCTTTGCTGGAGATTAACTTGCAAAGCACCGGTTAACAGATGATCCCAAGCACCAAAGAAGCCTAGACGAAATGATTGACGAAAACGATCTAGACGAAATAGATAGCCCATTAAATTTGATGGTGCAGCCCTGTCTACCCATCTCTTAAATAATCTACTGGCATCAGTATATTCAATGTCAAGCGTCAGAAGTCTAATTACTTATGCTTTAACTCCCCTGCTAGGACATTGCAGTTCATTAGAGTTGCATATTCAGAGGCAATATTATGAAAATGTATACCAGTATGGAGATTTGGACGGTTTAATTTATGGATCCAATCATCTTTCGAAACTGTTGCGGATATACCTATATCTTTTAGAAGTTAGGATTAAGTGACAAGTGTATCAATAACTTACTAGGTAACAAGAATTGTGTGGCCTCATTAGGTTTTAAGGAAGAAGCAGCTTGTATAAGCATTTGAAATGCCTTTCGACCTTGTAAAACATAACGGTGTAAATCATCAGGTAAGAGAGAAATCGGCATAGAGATTAGACTTGTCGTCTCTGCAAATATGGCATATATATGAATAATGAGCTGGTAAGCAGGTAGAACTGGATAATCTGAAGATGATAATCGAAGGATATCCTTGATGCGTTGACAATATGAGGTCTGAAACCAACTTTGTTCAGCGTTACATCGAAGAATCAACGGTGTTAAAATAATTGAGCAACCTGCTTCCGACATTGACCATGACTTGCGGTGTTGAGGAGTCTGGAGCCGCGGCCAGTTATATGGCTGTATAAACTGTTGGAATGCGTTTGAGTAAGCCACTTGTCCAGAGGGACTTAGGATCTTTGACATTAGTAGGTCTTGCAGAATACTGCCGAGGCCCTTCCATTCAGAATGAGGTACATCATGCGGACGACTGAGAACTACATCTAAGGTAGGATTTAATTCTCGAAGAGGGATCTGTTGACCTGTTAGTCCATATTTAGTAAAAAACTCTTGACGCTCTGTTTTTGTTGAATATCGATGTCCTTCAGCAAGCTTTTGAATTGTATCAAAATGATATCGCCCCTTCAGAACAGTATCAAAAGTTAAGTCAGCTCGTTGCTCTTTTGAACAATAACAAAATCGGCAACCAAATCTTGCATTATGGTTTAATGCCCCACTGTTTTTTGCTTGCTGGGGCATATCACCAGTAAATGCCATAATAAAAGCTGTGACCAAGGTAAGACCACTATCCAGTGGCATGGATATACCGCTAATAAGATCTTTGAAGCTCCCCTGAAATGAGGCAATCACATCTTCGACAGCGGCACCATGCGGGCCAAGTGTTAGCGTAAACAGATTTCCTACTTGCCGACGTGCAGAATATGAGAGGCCAGCAGGAATCAAGTAAAATGCTTTTAATGCTCGATACATATTTCGATGGGCCCCGAATTCATCGATAAAAAGTAAGAATGGGACAGAGCGTATCCGGCGAGTTTTTGCAGAACAGGAGAGAAAATGTGCCCGCCCAAAATGGGCAAGCTCTAACTCTGCGCGTAATGGATGCATTAAACTGGGATGGCGACATGTCCTTTTTTTATAATGTAGCACGCTGTGGATCTCGATAGAAGGATTTAAAGGATAACGATCATTGGCTGAGTAGTAACAAATACCCATATCGATTACCTGGAGAACATCAGCAGCTAGTATTTCAAAATTAATATCTTCCACTAAGATATATGTTGAGTCAGATGATAATGGAGCAAGAGATATACTTTCCATCTGTGAACGCGAGAAGACTGGCTGTAGTGTTAAAACAACTTGTTCTTTTGTAGCTGTTGAGCTCCGCTTATCCAATCCTATGAATATAACCCGACCAATTGTAACAGGTAATCTAATTGTATCAACGGATATCTGTGGTATTAATACAAAGTCTGAGGGGAAAATAGTCTCATGAGAGGAGGAGTAGGCATATTCTCCTGACACCGCGGCAATAGATCCACCCCATGCACGGGAATGCCATAGCTCAACAGGATTATCTGCATATTGGGCCATTCCAAAGTGCATTTTCTCTTTTGCAAGACCAGAATTGAGGATATTATAGAACAAGTGCGGTGGATCAAACCAGTATTGCTGTGTTGTGAAATCTGAATCACGAGGTGTATTGGATTGTCGTGCTTGACTAACGGGGATTGCTCGCTTATACGTGGATAGAAGTGGGAGGTTTCTTTCTAACTGCTCCTTTAATGTATCAAGTTTTCGAGGCAGATTACGTACCTTATCTGAATCTAGGAGCTGTAATACTTCATACAGCCGACTATAATCAGATCTTGATATTTCTGCATAAGTAACCCATAGTGCGAGAGCGTATATAAAATCGTTACCCAGCCAATCTAAGATTATATTACTATAGACTATCTGGGAAAGGCTTCCACAACATACTTATATCAGGTTCATATGGAGGTGGATTATACTGTGGGGATTCGTGTGGATGCTCTTGAGGTTGTTTGAGTATTGGGAGGTGACGCGTAGAAACTGGACAATTTTTGGTGTTTGGAGGACATGTGGCAGTTATATCCTGATGATACGAAGAATTCTGCCCATTATTATAGGGCCGCCAAACAATTTTTGAAGATGGAAGAGCCTTATAACGAGGCATTTTGAAGCCAGAGTGTTGTAGAGTTGATGTTTAGGTATTATAGTAAAAGGGGGTGTTCACAGAACAGGTGTGGTTCAGAGTGCCAAGATAAATACCTAGTCTTGCCCAATGCTCAACTGTAACGATGTTTTTAATATATAAATTATAGTAAAAGTCCATCCTCATCAATGTATTAATATGTTTCTAAAGTGTATTATAAGTCTTTTATATCCATATATTATAGCAGACTATCATACATTGAAAGAAGGCTTATTGGTTTAATATTAGAGTGTATTTATTAGATATTCTGGCATAATATGACCAGCGTATAGGATATATATATAATGAAGACAGAGATTGAAAGCCACTGTATGTCTCTCAAAACTAGTATACACAGTTAAAATTTGATTAAAATATAATTAAATATTGTACATTAAAAATAAATAGTAAATCGCAAACAAATATTACATCCTACTCCCCATCCTCATTCTCATCCTCATCCTCATCCTCATTCTCATCCTCATCCTCATTCTCATCCTCATTCTCAGTCTCACTCTCATTCTCACCCTCATTCCCATCCTCATCCCGGTGCTCATTATTATCCTTATCCTCATCCCCATCCCTCTCTTCTACTGATCCATCACTGTCCGCATCCATATCAATTAGGGACCGTTGGGGCTTCCGGCGACTGCCCAAGATTTCTGCCAATGGAAAGTCCCTAAGAATGTCCAGTTCTCGATATTTGTTCTTTGTGTGGAGACTATCAAAAGCATTTAAGACATGACTGCGATCATACTTCACAAGTTCAGGGATTCTATTAGGGCCCCGAGTAAGTAATGCATTTAGTCCTGCGCGGAAAACCAACTGGATAGTAGCATCTAAATTGAATTAGGCTGAGTTGAAGACAGTGCCTTAGCTTAGTATTTAACTTACATCGAACAAAAGATCGGCCGAAAGGAGAGAAGCTATCAAGTGATAGACAGGTTGTCATCCAAGCAAATACTTCTAAAGACCAAATTGGTATATATGACCTTGTGATACCTTCAAGGATTGATTTTGGGTCATATGGTAGTGAATAGCGTTGAGTAATAAACCACTCAAGGAATATACTTGTAGCGCTCTGAATTGATCGAAACTTCCAGGATTTATAGAAGGATCGAACAGCCTTTTCAGCATCTTGAAAGTCCCGTGTACCATGACTCATACCTGGGAAGGTTCTCTGCACTGGTTCAGCAGATTTTCTGTTGCATAGACCACATATAAACTGCTGTCGCGCATACTTGGCAAGGTCTTCTACAGCCCTATTTGTGTTCGTGGAAGTTGTCATACCAGCCTCCGCCACTAAATTCTGGGATGAATTGTCATAGTTGAATAAAGAGGCGGCAGGCTCCAGCATATCATCAGAGAAGCAGTCAGGCCCAGTTACATCCTGAATAGGGGGGATCGCTGGTGATGTAGGGTAAGATCGAAGATCAGCAGGATTGATAGTGGGTAACAAGCCCTCTTGGTGCACAGGAGACGTATGAATTGTATGCAATGATGGTGTACTTGGTAGAGGCTGATAGCTGCGTACGTTTCTAGGTTGCTGGGTGGAGGGTAATCGGTTATTTGTAAAGGTAGTATGTTCAACACTCCTAGGTCGGGTCGGTTGACTTTTTGAATGATTCGTAGTCTTTTTCCTTTTTGCAACTGATTTTGAGTGAGATCCAGTACTTTTGGCTGCTTTACGCTTTTGCTATAGGAACATATTATTAGTTTACTTTGATTATGATTTTCTTTCGATAATTTTATTAATTACTCACTGATATAATAGAAGGTCTACCATATTCAGAATCCTGCGAGTTTTCAAGTGCACCGGCATCAAGGGTGGTTGATTGTGTAGAGAATGATTCTGATTCTACCAGATATATTAATTTCCCAGTACACTACTAAGAGCTAGTAGTAACATACGTAAATTTGAGTTAGTCTCGGCGCGTTGGGTTGCTCCTATTGACCGATTTTGGTCCCGGTGTCTCGTCTGTAATGGTGGCACTTGCGATGATGTAGGCAGCGTAGATTGTGTTATGGCCATGATTATAGAGGTTATAACCAGCACTGTATTTCCAAAAAAAAAAAAAAAAAATCGATCTTTGATTGAATAGGAGTCCAAAATGAGAATTTTTCTGAGATTGTAGGCCAAGGAATTGAAAGCTTTTACGGGTATGTCTAAACAAAGAAGTTAAACAAAGAAAAGAAAAAGTTGATTTGTTTGCTACCCCCTGAGTTAGATACTAGGAAAAATTTTTTTTTTTGCTTTTCTTGATTTACAATATTAGGTCCTCAAGTTGGGGAGCCTTCAGTCTGTGCCCTGCATCGATTCGATGATCTGTTCGAGTATCATACTTGCATCAAAAATGTCTCCCTCCTGCGGCTCCTCACCATCCTCCAAATAAGTCAATTTGTCATTTCGAATTCGCCACCTGGTTAAAGGTTTATGGTCGCTCATTACTTCTTGGTCGTTAATATTAAGGGACAATTCTGTGATTATTCCAGGCAGTGCCTTGTTCACTCCTCTTCGACGCAACCAACATTGAAAAGTTTTTTCTGCCAAATATTCGTATATTAACACGATCTTTGTTTGTCCTAGTCGACATACTCTGCCGATGGCCTGGTTGGCGATGCTTTGTGAAGTTGGGGGTGAGAAAAGGTGCGCATTTCGACAAAGTTTCTGTAGATTGAGTCCTGCTGACGAGATAGAGAATGTTGATATTAGGACCATGCATTTATCCTCTTGCATAGTGAACTCATCGATTAGCCTTGTTCTTTCAGTTGTATCAAGACCCGAGTGCAGTACAGCAACGTCTATGCCAATCTCCTTGAGACAAGCAGCAACATACACTTGTTCGGCTGGCCACATTGTCCACACAATGGACTTTTCATGATGTAAAAACACCTGGTCTCTGATAATTGGGATCATACTTCTCATTTTAGGTGAGCCCCGTAAGAGAAATTCAAGAGCGAAGGTAGGCCTTTCAATCTCCTGAGCAACCTTATAGGCTGTTCTGTAAAACCCTATCACTGAACTTTCATTGTCCAGGACTTTGCAATCTTCAATGGCACGCATCCATCGACCTATTAACGTGCCTTCTTTCAGGCAATGCAACGCTGCTGCAATATTTTGCGTTACAAGACTTTTTTCCAACCATTGGAAGCCTATCCAACTTGAAAACAATGTCAACTTCCGAAGCCTGTCCATATTCCACCTGTACTTTGTTTTGTCGTGTTTATCCTGCATAAGAATGTATTGTCGATACCTGACCTCTAGGGCCTTGTAGGCCAGCTCTTCGGCCTCGTTTAGTTCACTCATTACCATCTTCCGCTTGTAGCCCGGGATATCTTGTCCTATGGTGACACCACTCTCAAATGGAATGCTTGAACTAAGCGTACGGCGAATCATCAATTGTGCTAGGATTTTGCGCAACCGTGTTCCTGCAAGTTGGAGATCAATACCATCCGCGAAGATAAGTTTGGTCAATGCTGTATGAGTAAGCAATAAACTTTCTTTCTCATGCCCCTTCGGTAGGTCGAAAAGGTGAGCTGTCAATTGCTGTGGTTCAACATGATCATTTTTTAGCACCAGACCTGCATATCCGGAGAAATCATAAACGCTGTTAAAAAACAGTGTTCCTGTCAGCAAGAGATTAAACTCTGCGTATATCCACTTCGCAGTAATAGATAATTGTGCATCTCTATTGCGCAGTGTATGCGCTTCGTCAAAGACAGCAATCTCGAAGAGCCCGGCCAGAGAACCCTTCCATTGTCGAGGGGGCTGAGATGGATTATAGGTGATCTTCTCCTTTTCACACCACAGTTTTGCTGTAGATGGCCCGTGACGAGCAGTCAATGTCTGGTATGTGGTCAGGATTAACACCCTTGCCCTTTGGGGTTGGCCGTCAAAAATCTCATCATCGTTTGTGAGTTTCCCATCTATTACACGTGCATTATGTCCGGCTGTGGCTCTGTAATCTCCATAATACACCCATAACTTAAACAGGGGCGTCATGGCAATAATCTCCCCAATCCATTGTCCTACCAAAGTGGGCGGTACAACAATTAATGTCGGCTTTCCTAGAGGCAGTGTCTTCTTTTCCTTTTTCGCCGCATCGTATCTTTTCTTGAACAATGCGTATTGCTATTCTTAGGTTAGTCTGGGAAAGGATATCACAAAGAGACTATACTCACATGCATAAGGAAACCTACTGCTTCCCAAGTTTTCCCAAGCCCCACGGAGTCTCCAAGGATTGCGCCTTTTACATGGCCAGATGCTTTCATTTCTGCAAGTGCATTGATAGCAACTGGCTGCCAATATTTTAGCATAGCACCGGCATGCATATTGGGCAACCGGGGATGCGATGAAGCTGGTATATTCAGCCTTTGACAAGCCTCCTCGTGATTCTCTCTCTGGTACTCTTTATTGTCAAACCATTGCCTTTGTTTTTCCATTTGGCGCAGCCCTTCCTCTGTCGGTCTCATGACAGTTGAAGCAGTGCTTATCTCTGCTATGTGCGCATATTCAATTTCTTCCTGTACATTGTAATGCTCAGGGTTGAATATATCGGTCGTCATCGGATCAAACGCGCGGTATTTAGCCTTAAGCTCCCTTTTGCTCAATTTCTTTGGTGTTTTAGGCTCACCCTTCATAACAGATGAGGCCGCTACGTCAACCTCCTCTTCTATCGTTTCTAGGTCTGCTATAATCTCTGGCTCTTCCTCACCTATAACCCGCTCACAGTTTTTTAGTGCGGTTGTGGCCATAGCATACTGCCAGAATGGGTCAGTACGATCGAATGTGTCGGATTTCCTCCACAGGATCATTTGCTGCTTTTTACTAAGGCATTCCTCTTGGAGTGCCATCTCCCATCTGCTCAATTGTGGGTCATTTTCATTGTCTTCCTGACTCATCTTATTATCGGCTTGAGTGTCTGTCTCAGGAACCGCGGTGGTGTCTAATTCCATTTCGGTGTCTTCCTTCGTGGTGGAGGATGTAGCCCCTGACTGATCATCGTTGGTTGTTGCTCGGGTGCGTTTTTGATAGCCTACCTAGTGTCAGCTGTGAAATCCTTTCCCACACTCCCCTATACTACTAACCTCTGACACTGCCAAAAATTGCTGTACCTCCACCCCTTTTCCCTATCTGGGATGGAGCATGAATGTGGCGAAGCCAATCTTTCAACGCCCAGATCAATCGATCTATTTCATCTTCCGTCTTCTGGGTCCGAAAGAACACCCCGCTTCTGCTTGTTGTATTCTCATACTTCACCCAATAAAGGAAGCATGCGTAATGATCCACCTCGTCCCACTCTGTTTTATCCTTCGTAAATGCCGAATACTTCCTGTTACCTGCTGCTTCACCAGATATCACTCTTGCCTGGACTATGACTAGTCCTGGGCCACGTTCACCACCTTTCCTGTTTCTTAAGAAGTCGTTCCATAGAGAAGCCCAGTGTGGCTGCACCATATCCGATTTAAGCCATTGAGTCCATTCGTCGTTGCCCACGAGTCCAAACGCGGTCTTTAGGCCCTCTCTTCCTTTAGGCGTTTTTGCTATTTTTATATGTTAGACTAGGGGTCTCTGTAAAAGGGTCTCAGCTCACCTTTTCCTGTGGAAGCTGTTGTGTTGGTTTCTGGCTCGTAGGAGATGATTACGTTGTTATCTGAGTCTGACGACTCACAACTCTTTGATTCAGAACTCATTGTGTATAGCGGAGGGGTAGATAGCAGGGATAAAGAAGAATACTTGACTCTAGTTAAGAAGCCAAGAAGGAGCTTATAGAGGTAAGATTGAAGGTAAGTTGAAGATAGAATAAAGGAAGAAGGATGAAGAAGGATGAAGGAGAGATGAGGGAGAGATAGAAGATGAATGAAGGAGAGATGAAAGGAACACCAAATCTCTGTTGCCCTGACGAATTAATTGTTTTGATTTCAGTGAATGAATTGTTCAGGATATAAATAAAGAGAGATATATATTTGTTAAGTAAATAATCAACTTCGAATAATTCATAACTATAGATATTCTAATGTCAAGCTAGAGCAAACTGTAAAAGGCTTTTTCAGTACAGTGTATACATAGTTTTTATACTATATTCTAACTAAAATAAATGTATTTTTAAACAGTATAAAGACTATCTTGGTACTATATACTCTAATTCTATAACTGTGTTGAATAAGTAATGTTCATGTCAACTCACAGTTATAACACCCAAGAAACTGTTTGCTCACTATAATATTTGGTTAGATTTTAGTATGTGACCCACTTAACCATTTTACACCAATGATTATCTAAGATGAAACCATTGTAACCCACCATAACCGGTTTGCGACCAGTACCCAAACCTCCAATAACTACATGCCTCGGGCCACTAAGTAATCTTTATCTACAAAGCGAAGGCGGTGTACGGCAAGCCCATCGAGGTCAGTCCACATTCATGCGTTTTGCTGATTTTGGGAAACGTTTTCTGCCGGTAGAATACTTGATTATTCAGCCATGTAGATGGACTTGTCGATATTTAGCTGATAGGTCAACATATTTCCATCTAATTCCCTATCGCAAGCTCAATGCGCTGTAAGGCTTCTGTCAGGTACGCTATTGGATGCGAGGTGACAATGCGAAACCAGCCAGGTTTCTCGGACCCAAAAGCATTGCCACTAGCAAGGAAGACCTTCTGGCTACAAAGACGATCCATGACTTCCTGGGTCAGGTCCGGACCATCATAGTGGATCTTCTGGCGATTTTCGAGGTATTTCTTCCCCAGGTTGACCCATATGAAGAAGCCCGCATTACCGCCGCGCTCATACTCCAAGCCACGTTGCTGAAGGTATTCGGCAACGAAGTGATACGAATCCCGCAACCTCTGTCGATTCATTTCTATGTATCGATCTGTGAAAGCGTCGTCCTCTAATATGTTGGCTGCTATATAATCTGACAAGCCTGAAACATAAGTGTACAGCGATGTTCCACGAAGGGCACTATGAAGACCAGCGTTTGCTTGGGATACAATGACGCCAATTCGAATGCCATTGGCACCAAAATCCTTGCTCATGCCCCAGAGAATATGAGTCAATCCTGGGTCAATAATGCCCGTGGGATTGATTGAAAGCAAAGATTCAAACTTCACTGGCGTAGGAGTCGGATCGATCCGGTTCTCCCAAGTCGACAGCGCGTAAATTTCATCGCTGATCAGGTGGATTTGATATTTCTGGCATAGTCTCATGATTTCTATAATTGTCTGCGTAGGATAGCAGCGGCCGAGGGGATTATGGGGATGGCAGAGGACCAAGGCTCTGGCTTTATTGCTCGTCTGACTTTCAAACTGCAGAAGCGCCTGCTCGTATTTCTCAACGGCAGCCGGCTCAAGCGGGTGGCAATCCTCAAAGCTCACGGGGACCACCTTTGCTGCCGGTCGCATTGCCAAATCCGGGATAAATTGCCCATAATAGGGCCTCCCAGTAAAATACCGTCCCCAGGGTTGGCGAATATCCACGACAGTTGTTCGATCGCAGACGACACGCCATTTGTGATGGCGAGATGATGGGGCTGAATGGGTGTAAACGGAGTCAGGTGACGGTTTAAAAATCGGGCAGTGGCCTTCTTCAACCGCGTGCTTCCAGCGCCGCCATCGTTGTAGGTTAAGTATTTGGCAGGTAGGGTCAGTTGCTTGTTGATATACTCTAGGAGCACGTCATGCATCAGGACATTTTCCGCGATCCCAACGCTGAAGAACCCATTTGGGTTTGACTCCGGATGCCACAGGTCGGCTAGAATATCAAGTAGTGGGTTCTTCGTCTCTGCGACTGCTGCTTCTTGTGCACGAGTCGATAACGGCAGATACGGATGCGGTTCTTCTTTAGGAGACATGATGGGCTTGTCTGAATGAGAAGGGGGCGGGGGAGAGAATATAAGAAAAGAAATATAAATAAAATAAAAATAAGATATAATAAAATAGATAGAAATACCACGAATAAAAATCGATTATAATACAAATACTAGGAGTAGCCTATTATCTCCCCAAAGTTGGAAGTTATTCCAGTCGTTTACATCAGTTCCATAATTTCCGGAGTAAAAGCCGAACCCCCGCTTTCCATGCCTTGTTTATGAGTCGCGATCCATCTACGCCCATGATATTTCCCACCTCACTCCATGTTCTTATCGCTACAAGGGCAAGGACTCCTTTTATCATGCATATGAACCCGAACCCTCTAGTATAGGGAGATTGGCTATATCTTATAGCGACAGTTAAGAAATCTATAACCATATATTTTGGCTGTGGCGGTACAAGTTTGGGAACTTTAAATAAATTAATAAATACCGAGCTTTTCATTCTTTCTTAATTTTTTCAGAAAACATAAAGGTAGAGAAAAGAAAAGAAGAGAAGAGAAGAGAAGAGAAAGGACTAATGTAGATAAGTTTTGCTGGTATATGTGAATGGTGATTGATGATAGAATATCTCGACGATCTTAATGTCACTATTAACTCATTCAAATTTCCCCTTTCAGTCTAGCCGTAATCTACAAGGCGTGGTAATCTCCGTACACCCGTAACAAGGTTCGGTAATCTACAACGCGCGGGATCCACAAGGTGAAGCAAAATCCCCACCGTCGGTGGAGGAAGATGAATCACTTGGTCGATTCTATACCCTCTACTCCGTACAGTATCATTTTCTTCACGCCCTGTCATGGTCAAGACCCACCAAGCAAATTCTCAATAGCGTCGCCGCCGTGGCGGTAATCAGTCCATTGATATCTTCACTAATGCCAGCAGTAACACTTCTCCCTCTATCTCTTCTCTTTTCCCTGTACTAAGCGGAAGTAATACAGAGTGAGCAGTGCACTAATCTTCACCACCTTCGAGACAATGAAGACCGTACAATTCCCTGGACTAGCTGGTCTCACGGCCTTCGTTCGACCTCTAGATTTGTCTGATCTCGACAGCTGCGTGGAAGTCGAGAGCGCCTTTCCCGAGCAGGAACGCTGCTCTAGGGAAAAGGTATGTTGTACACTTCGAACCGCACGGGACCCTTCAGATCTTACACTAACAAAAGCTTAGTTCATCTACCGCCTGACCATATGCCCAGACCTTTGCCTAGGGCTATTCGTGGAGAATTCTGGCCAGGTAGAACTGGTCGGCCACGTGATTGCCACACGAGTCCCCGGCAATCGAGTGACGGATGGAGCTATGGAAATGCCCAAAAACTGGGACGGGAGCCGTGATGTTGTTCAGGTGAATGGAGAGGCTATTGGGAACGATGTGAATGGACGTTTTGTCGGTGTGCACTCCCTGGCGATTCGGACGGGGTACCAGTTTAAGGGGTTGGGAAGGGCGCTGATGGATGAGTATATTGAATCTGCTCGCAACGGTATTGAATCGGCACAGAGTATTGTGATCATAGCTCATGATCATTTGATTCGGTTCTATGAGAGCTTTGGCTTCAAGAACCTGGGGCCGAGTCCGTGTGCTTTTGGTGGTGGAGGGTGGTATGACATGGTGAGTTTCCTAATCAACTTCTGGGACAGCATCCATTAATAGTATATTCAGGAACTGAGTCTTTGATTGAAACTTTGGGCCACTCTGTGCGGTGTGCCAAGCGAATTGTTGAAAAAGGGGGGGGGGGGGGCGGTTGTTAAGAGGAAATATCTTCGAAGTGATCGATTCAATCGTAGGATAGAGGATTCCTTGAGTCTGGACTATCGCTTATTCCTAAGCAGTGAGACTGCCTTCGATTCCCCTTGTCTCTCTCTCTTTTTCTTTTTTTTTTGAAAAAAAAATGTGTTTCAACGGA